AAAAAGTCATTAAAGTAGAGATGTGATTTTTGATGAGGACAAGACTTGGAAGGGGCTCTCTATTGATGAAAATGGTCCATGTACTATGACAGGTGAAAACCAAGTAGTGATTGATACTCGTGAGGAAAATAGTAATCTTGATCCCATCTCGCCAAATACATCCAAAAATATTAATCAGGAAGCCTCGAGTCATGAGGAAACAGACTCTGAAAGTCCATTATCCTCAAGTGTGCAGGGCCGAAAAACTAGAAGCCTAAGTGATCTCTATGAAAACACACAGCCTATGAATATTGAAGATTTTGCTGATTTTGCTCTATTCTTAGATGCAGATCCACTAAGCTATGAAGAGGCATGCCAAGACAAAAAAATGGAGGGATGCAAATTCAATTCTTAAGAACAACAGCTGGGAACTTGTGGATCTTCCAAATGGGCAGAAATCCATAGGTGTAAGATGGCTTTACAAAACTAAGTTGAATGAAAAGGGAGAAGTGGACAAGCATAAAGCAAGATTGGTGGTGAAAGGGTACAAACAACAGTATGGAGTTAATTACCAAGAGGTATTTGCTCTTGTTATCATATTAGAAACCATAAGACTAATTTTGGCTATTGTTGCACAGAATAACAGGAAAGTTCATCAGATGGAAGTGAAATCAGCTTTTCTCAATGGACATCTAGAAGAAAATGTGTATATTGATTAGCCTTGTGGTTACAAGAGAAAAGGTCAAGAGGATAAGGTATGTCACTTAATGAAAGCTTTATATGGTCTAAAGCAGGCCTCAAGGGCCTGGTACAGTAGGTTAGAAGGACACTTCTTGAAGGATGGCTTCAAGAAGTGCAACTATGAGCATACTGACAGCTTAGGATCGTTCATGTTCACACAGTGGGCACGAAGTCCCCATAGTGGCGGTGCAAGTGCACATCGACACTACGATCGCTTGCAAGTAATATAGTGGTAAAATACCGAGATCATTTCCACAGGGACTGGACTATTGAGATTCAGAGACTTCCATGAACTTCTTGATCGTGTTTCAGTTTGCGAATAAAAGTTGGATTTTGTTGGTAAAAAGCTTTAAAAGATGAAATAAACGAAATAGACTTATAAAATAAAAGATGGGCATGGGTGTAAGTATTCCTTAAGATAAAAACACAATATAATGGTCAAAAACTTATGAGATGTTCGTAAATATTACAATCTCTCAAAAGTGAAGATTTATAAACAGATCCCACAAAGTTCCTACTCTCACCCCTCCGAAACTTGTTGATTTAGCTAAACAGAAGAAGAATTAAAATTCATACTCAAATCTCTTAAGATGAATAACCATCGCTTAACCCTTAGCTAAATACATACAAAATTCGCATTTCTACGTAATTATCAAAGACTCTTTCGAGTTCTTTATGCTTCACTTAAGCCGTATTTCGAATCCACCCATCTCTGGGTCTAAGATCTAATATTAACATTTCAAAGTGATCGGCTTATCCGCGTTGAGTTTGAGTCCCGTCTTAAGTGACCAAGTTTACAAAATGGTAATGAGTAAAAACACCCAAATATTGTATAAAAATCATAAGTTAAACTCACAACCATACCCATTTAAGTAAATTAGCTTATAATAGACATGAAAAGCATAATATAAGACAAGAAATAAAACTTCAATGCAACTTTCAAGAATATAGAACAAAAGTTTGTTGCCCACAGTGGTGATACTGTGGGCAGCAGATTACAATTAATAAGATGATTACATGCTAAAACTTAAGAGGAGAAGAGAAAAACTTCAGGTGATAATGCTTCTAAGGGATGATCTTCAAAGTGAACCCCAAAGCCTCTTTATATAGGAGAGGAATGGATAAGGATGAACCCTTTTATCCAAAGGAAATTAAGCACAAACAAACCTTGGGGCAAAGACCATCTAACAACTACTTAAAAAATTCAAAAGTACAACTTTACAAGCAACTCCAGCTGTAGCATAAACTTTGAACAAGATCTTCAAGCAAACATCCTCCACAAAGTAGAAGACTAACAAAAATTCGTGAACTTCCTACTGTGGGCAGTTGCCAGAAAGTGCAGTTTTTTGGAATAAAATGTATTCCTTTGTGTTTCATCATCCTTTTTAAAACTTTAAAATAAACGGGGAAAAACAAGAAAATTGGGTATTTAATAGATGCAAAAATGGAGAAAATAAATAAAAAATAACTCTAAAAAATGAGAGTTATCACATACCCTCTTCATAAATAGGGAAAATGATAAGCTATTGATGGTTTATGTTTATGTAGATGATTTGGTATTTACTAGTGACTCTGCAGAACTGATCTCTAAACTTAAGGAAAGTATGATATTTTAGTTTGAAATGACAGATCTTGGGCTCCTTCATTATTTTCTGGGAATAGAAGCCAAGCAAGGAGACTACATGGTAACCATTTCTCAAAAGAAATATGTTGTGGAACTTCTTGTAAAATTTAACATGAGCAATTCCATCTCTGCTGCAACGCCTATGGAGAATGGTTTGAAATTGTCTAAGGACAGCCATGAAGAAAGTGTAGATCCAGCTCTTTATAGGAGCCTGGTAGGATGTCTTATGTATCTCACTTCAACAAGGCCTGATATTATGTTTTCTATCAGTATTATCAATTGATTCATGGAAAATCCTAAAAGAAGTCATTGGGAAGCTGCAAAAAGGATTTTAAGGTATGTCAAAGGAACTTTAAATCATGGTATCAAATTTTCTCATGTTAAAGTTCCTAAGCTTATTGGGTTCAGTGATAGTGATTATAGGGGAAATCTAGATGATAGTAAAAGTACAACCGGCTATACTTTCAGTCTGGGATCAGGGGCTATATCCTAGCAATCTACGAAGCAGAAGGTTGTGGCCCTATCATCTACAGAGGCAGAGTATATGGCTCTCTCTTCTGCAGGGTGTGTCATGCTCTCTGGCTTAGAGGGATTCTAGGAGAAATTGGCTTTCCTCAATCATATGCTACTCCAATTTCTTGCGACAATAATCAGCAACTGCTCTTACAAGAAATCCTGTCTACTATGGAAAGAGTAAGCATATTAGAATCAAGTTTCACTTTATCAGAGAACTTATACAAAATCAAGATGTTGAGGTCTTATTTTGTTTTTCAAAAGATCAAGTTGCAGATGTGTTAACTAAGGCATTACAGCGTGGTAATTTCATTCGTTTAAAGAAGGCTCTCGGTGTTGAAGATGTTTAGCTTATGGGGGAATGTTAATTTTAAGCTAATCATCTTCTGTTGCTGTTAGTTTGGATGGCAGTTATGGTGGTTGGCAGTTATGGTCATTATTGGCAGTTACTCTCCAATCGGTTTCATGAAGGGTTGTGATGTTTCCCTGCTTTATATACGTTGGTTCATTTCCTTTATATTTGTTTGTTTGTTTCTCTGTAATTAACTAGTTGACAATTGTTCAATACAATACTTGTGTATTTTTATTTTGTGTATGCCTCTGATTCTAGAACATGAATAAAGGATTTTGCTGATAAACCCAGATGCATTTTGTTGACATCAACTCTTATGATGAGATAATGAGGCTTTATTTGTGCAAGGGATAAGATTTCTTATTCTAATAAGTAGTTTTCTTTTCTTGTGAACAATCTGATAAAAACTGAAGAGATGCTTGTTAATGTCTGTTGTGATCGAAGTAATATCTCATGAAAAAATTATGATGTATGGAATAGCATCTATTATTGATAATAAATAGATGATCATGTTTATTGCTAATGAATTTAAATTACAAAAAATATTAATATCAGTGTATAAACGAACAGAGATATGGAGAATGAACATAAGTGCCCTCTACTATTTTGATGTCAAGTATAAATGTAAAAACATGTTGGTGTACAATTTTATTGTCTTCTAGCACTACTGTTTAGGTAGCAATTACAGATATAGGATTATCTAGAAAGTTTTAGTTAAGCAACAATTTGATAACATATTTCAGTTTAACTGGATGAAATTATTTGATTTGATAATTGTTGATTACTCCCCCAAAGGAGGTTCACTTGTTACACTAACATAAAGAAAAATAATCATCCCTATATATTTGTTATGCCCTGATTCAACAAAATGGTTGCAGTTAAGAATGGGGAGAAAGAGAGAGATTGGGAGGAACAAGAAAGGGGATTAAGGTAGATTCTTTTAAGCACATGATTCTCAAAGCACAGTGACTCAATAACATACAACATGAATCCTAGTCGCTAATCATGTAAGTCTACTACTGCTAGAGTGATTTGATCAAAACCCAGACGGTTTTCCTAATGAACAAAGAAACAAGGGCCCTGTTCTACAATAACTCTCCACTCTTTCTCAATTAAAGTTCGTATCTTGTTAAAAACTATATTGATGATACCATAGTTGAAAGGCTGATATACTGGCAAAACTATCTGTGCTTAATCCTGTACCGAGAGTAAACATAGACTAGGTAAAAAATTCAGCATTTAGCCAATTACCATTTAGCAACTACTTTTCTACATAATGCAACGATCACAATGTTCTTATTATTAAGTACTTACCTTAAATTCATATCTAATATTTTTTACATGAAAGTGTGCATTGTATATATGCCTATGAGGCTATGACTATAGACAGACGATGTCATTTAATTTTTTATCAAACGAAGTTTGAACCAAGTCATGTCAAGTGCCTTTGTCATTCAAGCCTTTTTGCCTTTCTAATGTTACTTTTTGTTTGTAGCTTGGCTACAGATCAATTTCATATCCAAGCATTGATCCATGAGTTTATCTTCTAATAGCAAATAACATAATCATTTTCACTTCATAATGTTGTGCAACTTTCTACTTCCATTGGTTTCATGAATGAAATCCGATAAAAAAATGAAGTTGAGTTATCAGGCTAAACTCTCACATTGATGAAATCATATTGAATATAACATTAAAGAAGTTACACCGATGAGCTAGATTAAACCTTCTAATATACATAAATTACATAAACATGACTAAGCACGGTGAATTTACAGAATTCTTCAACAGAGATGTATAATATCAAAATGATGCACATGTGACAATCTTATATGCAAGTTTGCACAAGTACCTCATCCACCTGATTGAGTACGAAGAAGTCCATCTGATGAATACAGTAACTAGCAGCACCACCTGTTCTCTTTGTGCTCATTTCCCCATAGTTGCAGTTGCGGAAACTGTCAATCTTCCACCCCGACCCATGGTCACCAAGTCATCAATTTTCTGGCCATCATGGGAATTGTGCATCACATATGAGGAAAGTATAACTACATGTACACACATATACATACATTCATAAATACATGCATGTGTAGAGTAAGGATGCATGAGTTACCTTGCTAATTGTTAAAGCCCGTTTACTGTGCATTGCCATCTATGAAGTCTGACTAGATATTGAACACTCAGTTCTCTTTTCTTTTCTTCTTGAAACACTAGAGATAATGTTGCTAATATCTGGACCCATAGGCTTCCAATGTATATGATCCTATCAAGAATCTGTTGCAACCACATTATCTAGACCCACGTCATATTTCTCGGATGCAGATGACAGTTTCACCAATGTGTTCAAACTAGAATAAACATCTATCATATCAGGATGAGAGGCATCTCCAACTAGAAACTCATGGACATTGCCATTAACCTCAATGGAACTACATCCAGGCTCCTTTCTGACTCCAATAGCTCTCATTTTGCTTCTTACCTTCTTCACATCCTCCCATCTCCCGGCAGAAGCATAAATGTTCGCCATGAGTGTATGAATACTAGAATCACCATCTTCAATTTCACTTAACCGGTCAGCTAAATGCTCACCCATATCAACATCACCATATAATCTGCAAGCACTGAGCAAAGCACCATAAACTGGAACCAAAATCTCATCTTTCTCCTTTGGGATTTTGTTAACTATTTTTTCTGCTTCCTTCAATAGCCCAGCACGACCTAGAAGATCAATTAAACACCCGTAGTGTTCTATCTTTGGTTCAATTTCATATACAGATTTCATTGATTCAAAATGCCTCCGGCCTTCCTCCACCAATCCCCCATGACTGCATGCATTTAAGACACCTATGAAGGTAATATCATCAGGTCTAAAACCATATTCCTTCATCTCAGAGAACAACTGGAGTGCTTTACCGCTCTTCCCATTTAATGAAAGTGCACATATAATAGATGTCCATGAGGCTGTATCTTTCTCCTGTAATCCATAAAATACCTCCAGAGACTTCTCTATGCGCCCGCATTTGGCATACATATCAATAAGAGCAGTACCACATACAGCATCAATTATTATTCTATGTTCATTCATATATTCATGAATCCATTCCCCTTGTTCTAAGGCCCCAACTTGTGCACAACCTGTTAGGAGAGCAACCACTGTAAATTTATCAGGCTTAATTCTATAGGTTTGCATCTGCTGAAACAAGACCATTGCCTCATCTACATTATTAAACTGCACGTATCCATTTATCATAGCTGTCCAAAGAACAATATCTTTAACCGGGCTTCTATCAAACAAGAGTCTAGCATCATCTAATTGCCCACAACTCACATAACCAGACACCATGCTTGTCCAGCAAATTACATTTTTCTTCGGTAGCCCATCAAAAATCTCACGTGCCACGTCCAAACATCCACACTTGGAATACATATCCAATAATGCATTGCCAATTATAGTAGTAAACCCAATTTCATGAGTAACGTAATGGTGTATTTCCTTGCCGAGTTCCAAATTCTTTAATGCTATACATGCTGAAAGAGTGCTTACCACTGTGGCCTCATCAGGCCTCACACTTTCCTCTTCTCTCATCTGCAAATAAACACCAACAGCATCCTCAAATTTCTTACACCTAACATACCCAGATATCAAAACATTCCATGAGACCAAATCTCGTTCAGGCATTTCATCAAACACCTTCTTCATGTCCTCACTGCGACCCAACTCACCATACATATCCATAACTGAATTACAAACATAGCAATCAAACTCAGCTCCAGATTTCACAACAAACCCGTGAATCTTTTCACCAGTCAAAACCTCTCGTAAACACCCAATCGACTTAAACACAAACGGGTAAGTATAATTATCCGGCCACAACCCATCTACCCTCATCTGATCAAACAAACAAAGAGCTTTTCCGAAATCACCACTCTTTGTATATGCTTTAATCATCACATTATAAACGAACAAATAAGGTGTTTCTATTCGGTCAAAAATTCTCTGAGCGTAGCTTAAGTTTCCAACGGATGGGTCTGCGGAGAAAGCCATGATCTTCTTGATAGCGTCCACGTTTTGAGCGAGACCAAGAACAAAGATTTGGGTCTGGATTTGCTTCAATTGGTTCATAGATTTGCAGTTTTTGAGGAGATGTATGCATGTTCTCTTGGTGGGAATCAAGAATTGTTGGGTAGTTGAGAAGCGATGTGGTCTAAGAAGGGAAAAATGGCGGGAGAGAAGCGGGTTGATTTTAGAAGCCATGTTTTCACTTTTCAGCTCTATTAATCTGCACACTGCTGCTAAAATGCTCGCCGACATTATAAGTGTCTAAGTTTATAAAATAATGGGTAAATTGTACGAAAAAATAACGTATTTTAATTTGATTCCTATTTTAGGTAAAATATTTTTAGAATTTTTATTTTGGTATCTAAGATGTAAAATTTTGATCATTAAGTACATAGGTAATGGGTTGCACGATTAATCGGTTATCATGCTAATTTGGCAAATGATTGTGATATCCAGTTAATGTTTCAGTATATAATACTGAGTTGGATACCACATCACTCACTACATCAGCATGGTAACCGATTAATATTTCAACCGGTTATCCGGATACTTAAATGTTTAAAACTTTACGTCTTAGGTATCATAATTGAAGTTTCAAAGGTATGTTACACAAAATAAGAATCAAGTCAAAGTACGTTACTTTTTCATGCAATTTGTCTATTATATTATATAAACTAGACAAATCTATAATTTCAAATATGGGGGCCAAAATGTCGGCAAGGTCCTGCTAAATTTTAACTTAATTCCTATTTTTTGTATTATACTTTCAAAACTTCTATTTTGGTACCTAAAATGTAAAGTTTTGAACATTCAAATACATAGGTAACAAGTTGAAGCATTAATCGGTTATCATGCTAATTTGACGAGTGATGTGATATCCGGTTAATGCTTCAGTAAATAATAATGAGTTGGATATCACATCACTCACCACATCAGCATTGTAACCGATTAATACTCCAACCGATTACCCGAGTACTTAAATATTTAAAACTTTACATCTTAGGTACCAAAATTAAAGTTTTGGAAGTACGTTACCCAAAATATACATTACTTATTCTTGCAATTTGTCCTAATATAATTATTTTTTTAGGTTAAATTTTGGAAATTCTGAAACAAACAAAACTTGTTTTATTTATAAATTGATATTGGATAGTTTGTTTGTATCATTTATTTACTTGACTTCTTACTAACATTGCCAGTAAATTTTTCAAAACAGTTCAATTATTCATTCATGTGATTAACCTTAAAATAGTTACGGTTAGTGATTTCAGGCCTACACTGCCTAATAGAAGTTTAAATTAAGTTTGACCAACAACGATAGTAAAAATGTTGAACAATTACAGTCTAGTGAGTTGTACTGTATTTATCTAGAAGTAACGAAACAGAGGCAAATAAAAGACGTTAGGAAACAAATATTTCATATCAACACTTGTTTTTTGCAAAGCAAACTAAAAGCGGGTTGTTTGGCTTCCTGTTTAGTTCATATTTTTGGTTTATGTCATCTGACTGTATAATTTATTTTATTGAATAAAATTTAATTTGGGTTACCTGTTTTTACTGGGCATTCTTTGTCTTTCCATTTTGGGCACAGAAAATCGGAGGACCGACCTTGCCTCGTCAAGCCATAATAATGTTATTAGAATCCTTGTTTCTTGTCATCCTAATATCAGTCTGTATAAATCCGGTGAAGTCGACAGCCCAAAGAAAACCAAGATTGCTGTATTTAACTGCATTGTAAATCTCGTTAAGATCCATTTTCATCTTCTCTGAATATGTATATTGAATTTTATATATCTGTATAGTATTTCCCACGCTAGAATAAACGCACACGTTACGTTTGTATAAACAAATCCACATCCTTATCAGTTTGTTCGAGTGTCGTTGTCAAAATCCTCTGCCATTTATTTCCCTTAAGAGTGTCGGTGCTAGTCTTTATAGAAGTAGGATATTTACCTAAAATGATGGACGAATAATAAATGAATATGTTTTCATACGACATCCAATATGCCTAAACCAAGGGCTTAAACTGTACATAAATACATACAACTATAATTCAATAATGTAATAATTTTTATAATTAAATTATATGGTAATTAAACGAGAGTTTCAACTAAACTTCTTTTCTGCATGTTATTTGAACTTTATCGGTCGCTCTTTATAAATTTATTTCCTTACAAATTACCAGCGGTTTTTTCTTTGTACATTTTGAATAAAAATCTAATTCAAATCAGAGAGTTTAAAGGGGTGTTTGGGATTTGCTTATTTGAAATAACTTATGTTTTTCTACAAAAGGCACTTATCAACTTATTATAAATCAGAAGGGTTTAACTTCTTATTACCGGTTTGGCACCGGTATAAGTTGTTTATCCAAACAATCAAAAGTACTTGTTATCGATGTCACACCGGAATAAGTCAATAAGTTGTTTTTATAAGCAATTCCAAACACCCTCCTAAATAAGAATACCCATTATTAGCCCTGGAGCGTGTAGTTCAATTGACAAAGGAACGCAGTTACTTTGTTCAAATATACAATAAGTTCAAGGTCGAACTTTGTAGGAACAGATTTAAATTCGTCCATTAATCTCAGTTCTGAAATGTCTCCTCATCTGTCATTCCTAAATAACAGGTATTATACAAAGATCGATTGAAATTACTGATAATGAACCATTTGCTAAAATATCATCCATAATTAAATCATGTCAAAATATCAATTAAAGATTTCTTGAAATCCCACAAGACAAGGAAAAATAACATGATGGATGAACCAATGGCAATCCCATGTAACACGGTATTCATTGTAGACCTGTCAAGTCCTCGAAATCAACCCAATCACTCTACTTCGAGCTGCCCATCACTGGATCGTCCCTCTTCTCACATTGCCATTAACAAAGGTACGTCTGGTGCTCGATTTCACAGATTCTAGTATCAATTCCTTTAGATCCGATCCCCATTTCGTTCCTCAACGTTTTGCCCTAATTCTAGCTCCATCTTTCCGCTCAGTTTATCAGATCAAACCGATTCTATCCAAGTTCTATTGTTTATTTGAGTTGACCCTTTAATTTACAAGCGCTTCTATCAAAGTTCCAACTGAAATTGGAATCGTGTTAGGAGGAATTAGAGAAACAATGGCTGTTCCGAAGCAACATTATGCTACAAGCAGTCTTGTGATTGGGTATGCTCTGTGTTCAAGTTTGTTGGCTGTGATTAATAAATTTGCAATCACCAAGTTCAATTACCCAGGTCTATTGACTGCTTTGCAGTATTTAACTTCAGCTCTAGGGGTTTGGATTTTGGGAAAATTAGGGTTTTTGAATCACGATCCGTTTGTGTGGGAAACCGCTAAGAAATTCTTGCCGGCGGCTATTGTTTTCTATCTGGCTATCTTTACAAATACCAATTTGTTGCGCCATGCCAATGTAGACACGTTTATAGTTTTCAGATCATTGACGCCCCTTTTGGTGGCACTCGCTGATACCACTTTTAGGAAGCAACCGATTCCATCAAAGCTTACGTTTTTATCACTTTTGATCATCTTGGGTGGTGCTGTTGGCTATGTTGCTACTGATTATGGGTTTACTTTGACTGCATATTCATGGGCATTTGCTTATTTGATCACGATCACCACCGAAATGGTTTACATCAAACACATGGTGACAAATCTTGGGTTGAACACATGGGGTTTTGTTTACTACAACAATTTGTTATCTCTTATGATGGCTCCATTGTTTTGGGTTGCAACCGGTGAATACTCGGATGTGTTTGCAGCTGTTGGATCCAATGGTGGGAATTTGTTTGAGATTGTCGCGTTTACAGCAGTTTCATTATCATGTGTATTTGGACTTCTAATCAGTTTCTTTGGATTTGCTTGTCGTAAAGCCATCTCCGCCACTGCATTTACTGTAACGGGTGTTGTAAACAAGTTTCTTACAGTGGCTATAAATGTTCTGATTTGGGATAAGCATGCTAGCCCATTTGGGCTATTCTGTTTGCTTGTAACTATTGCTGGAGGTATTTTATATCAGCAGTCTGTAACTGGAGTTACCAGCCCGTCTTCACAGCGGGACCCAGCAGCATCTAAGCTGATGGAAAGCAAAGATGATGGTGACGACTACACGGATGAAGATCAAGAAAAGGGCATATCTGGAAAAATCTCTGGTGTATAAGGATTACAACATCTCACTTAAAAGAGGTTCTGTCAACCAAAGCTTTTTTACACATGTTATCAATGATTCTCAGTTAGTTTTATGTATTAAATTGTCAACTATATTATCTGCTTTTGGATTTCCATCATTAATGTTATCTCAAATAGGTCTTTTTTCCCTCACTATGAACGGTTCATGCCTTATGTCTTCGGGCATCTTTGCTTTATTAAAGTAGTGAAAACATCACTTATTTTGTTAAAGGGGTCCAAATGAGAAGCACAGTATTGATGCATTTATGCTTTTGTATTTTTCTCCATTAGATTAATTTATAAAACAAAGTTCTCATTCTTAGCATCTTGGTGATTTTGGTTTCTAACAGAAATGCTTAGGCGTTAGAATCCATTTATGTGGCTAAACAAATACATCCTATTCTGATCTCTCTGATTATGCCTTGTTTTGCTGTTAAAGTAGGAAAACATATGAACATGTTAATCCCGGTGAAGCATAGAAGCTCATAGTTTACTTAGTTTCTTGATATTGATTTGAGTTTTATGAATGAAAGTACGAAATACACATACATTTCTTCGTCTATGGCATGGTACTGCAACCAAATTTCTGATTTACTCGATACCAATAATGTCATATATCCTTATTCTAAACTTGGATGCTCAAGAACACATGTGATTTTATCATATTTATCTTCTCCTTAGTGATGTATTTACCAATTTTGTTAATTTTTGGTTTTGTTAATGAGGAATATATGGTTTTACTCTCATTTGGAAACAAGATTGGCTTTGTAATGATGGATAACTAACAAACTTTTGTATGCCCACATGCACACTTGTGAATGATGTGTTCATGTGTAAGCTTTTGAGGGGATGACTGCATGAATGAGGGATCATATTGAGACTAGTTTATTGCATATGGTAAAGGTATACACTTTTCATGTATGCTTGATTACATGATATGTTAGTGTCTTTGGGGTAGATAACAGGTCTGCTTATATTAAACCCCAGACCCTGCTTTCAAATATCGGATATATTGGGTTGGAACCCATTTGGTTTGGTTTGGTCTGGTTTTACTCTCTTTAGTTCAGAAGAAATCTTGGGGAGTAGTTGATAAAAAGGGACAACTCAACCAACTTTTGGGACCATTGTTAAATGGATCACAAGATCTTGACAGGGTATCATCTTTCTGTGTCATCATATCATGTAAAAGTGATTCAGAAAGTGGAATAAATTGGCATCATTCTTGATCACAGATGGTGTTTGCAAAAGCTTTTTAAGCTCTTTTCCTCTATATGGCTGAAATGATGAGTGAATGGCCACATACGTAGATCTTATACTCCGATGATGGTGTTTGATAGTGTTTTTGCAATCAACGGTTTATACAAGTCGTAAAAAGGGTAACCCACTTTGTCTAGCACCCTCCCAAAAGAAATGCTATCAAATTTTAACGGGTAGCTCTACTAGTAAGATTTTGGGTTTTGCTTTCTAGAAATTACTGGTTCAAGTCCCTTTATGACCACTTACGGGTTTGACTCACTATTAACTTCAGAGCCATAGGATTAGTTGATGTACCCACAAAATGACCTAGACACCCACGGTTACCAAAATGAAATGCTACCCTTTTCCCCTCATCTCTTCTCAAGTTACCCCAAACCTAGTTTGATTAGGAGAAATCTTGTTTCAGATGAGACCAAAACTCATTCAATGAGACTCACTCTGAGTAATACTATAAAACCAAATCAAATAAATGCAGTATGTCCCACTTAACAGTGTCTAGGGGTGAGATATACGCAAACGTCTTATCCAAAAGTGTTGTAATAAGTTTATAGGACATTTTTTGGTGTTCTTCACAAGTGTCCTGTTACGACACTTCATCATTTCTTGCATTCAATAAGCCCGATTTTGTTACATTTGTGAAAAAACTTCATACACTCATAAAGGTGAAATGTCTATTATGAAATATCCTTAAAGATAATGTTTTTTAGTCTTATAAGGACTAAGTTTGACCATTTGAGGACTAAAATTGGTAAAGATTCAAAGTATTTGAATAAATTTGGTCAAATCTAGTGTGTATCATGTTGTAATCACGTGTAAACTACTCCATGGTTCAAGGGGAATAAATTGTTTACGAACTTCCATATTTAAGTAATACTAATTTTGGTTATTGTCAAATCTACAATTGAGGAACCCAATGACTAATAATACATCATGGAATTGACAACTTCCATTTTTATGTTTATCAGATAAATTTATTTATTTTTATTAACTTGGATATCCAACTTGCTATGTTAGCTAAGGTGTTAATGAGTTGAGTTGATCGGATTGAAGACATTTGAACAGTCCAACTTAATGTTTGCAGTTTGGAAAAATCTTAACCAAACCAAAGTGCAACCCAACCCGTATGGGTTGGTCGGGTTGATACTTTGGTATATTAAAATATTCTTCTAACCTTGAATATGTTATTTCCCTACTCATAAATTTCTTTTCATCATCAACCATTTGATACAACTTATCCATATTTCTTACGTATATCACATTCAGTTAATTTTTTCAATTTACATATATATGTTCATAGTTACTGAACATATATATGAATGAGTTATATAGAGATATGAATAGGTTGGAAATATGTGTATATGAAAAGCATACATGATAGTGTAATTGTCTAATGTATATATTAATAGAAATTCAACAATCATAGTAAATCCAAGAAATAAAAGGATATCGGGTTCATCGGGTTGGGTTGGGTTCAAATAATAGCAACCCAATATCAACCCAATACCTACGGTTTGACAATTTTACAACCCGATTAGACATCGGGTTGCTTCGGGTTGGGTTATTTCACGTTGGGTTGGGTTGATCTGGTTTTTGAGCACCCCTAATGTCAACCGACTAATCTCAGGACAACCACCTGCGTTGTGGGTAGCTCGGAGTTACCACATTTAAACTTCCGTGGCTACAAGCGGATTTTTATTCTTCCTTCAATTTAAACCTGGGACCTCTAGGCACTTTTGACCTTTAAAGCTAAAGTTCAAACCAATTAGACATCACCCTTGTAGACTTATGGTTGAAATATTAAATTTTTAACATTGGCTAAAAGTTAAATGTGGTTTTATTTAGAAAAAGTTTTCATCTTTATGTTGAGAACTTTGGTTTTGGGTGTTTTGATTTTGTTTATTACAAATTTCTCCTTATTAACTGTGTTTTTTCTAGTTTTTGTCTCTTCCTCTTGCAGATATTAAATATTTCTCGTTAAGCATCGTCATATGATTTAACATCTTCAGGAAAAAATTGTCTTCTTTCTTTTTCATTTTTAAACCCGTTATTGTGAAATCAAAACCCTAAATTTAGTGGTAGCTTTTAATAAGTCTTGTTCAGATTAAAGATGAAGATCAGGAACAGTTTGATCAAAATGGATCGATTTGTGTCAAGGTTCTAAATGATGTGAGGCGTAGCATGACGGCAAGATCAAGCCTCAAGCTTAGGAGCGATGGCAAGACCACACCGTTTTTCATGATCTGGTTTATATGTGTGTGTGTGTGTCTTATTATTACTCAATGAGTCAATGATATTAAACAATTTAAATTAGGTTATATATAAAAAACTAAAAAGTAAGAAACTAAAAATGTGAAAAAATAAAAATCGTGTTATAAAAGTAAAAACTATATATTGGGTCTTGTCATCAGGGGCAGATGCAATGGCAAAAAGGAGGGGGAAGGGACCCCAGTCAAAAACTCAAAAAAAAATCATAGGTTAAAATTTAGGTTTTACATGATTTATCTTTCACTTCCCCCCGTTACATTTTATCACGGGCCTTCAACCCCAGTCGAAATCGTTACTCTAACAAAAAAAATCTGTTGAAATCAAACAAAAAAAAACCAAAAAAATTATTCGAAATCGACAAAAACACTAAAAATCTCTCGAAATCAATCAAAAAACTTTAAAATTCCCTCGAAAACGTTGTAATTAGATTAAAAATACATCGGACGATTTTGCAGGTCTTTAGTCTATCTTAAAGGTGAACCTACTGAACAAAAATCATGGATCCGCCACTGCTTGTCGTCCCATATGCTGAATGTGGCATGAGACACAAAACCTTAAAGCACAATGGATATACTGACAAGCCTTTTAAAATACTGATTTATGTAAAGGAAAAACGATACTTGTTAAACTATTTCACATTCATTCTTTGCTTCTACCTCTAAAGTGGGTCTTGATGCTTTGTGTATGAAGGTGATGGTGGTGGGAAGATGGAAAGGAATTAGGGTTTTGATTCTTTGCATATTCATGAAGCCAAAAGAGAAAAACAACAAACTTTTTTTTTTATTAACCTGGATATCCAACACGCTATGCAAGCTTATTAATACTAGGGCGACCACCTGTTTTGCAGATAGCCCGGAGTCACCACATTTGAACCTCCATGGCCACAAGGGGATTTTTATTCTTCATTGGATTTGAACTTGAGACCTTTGGAGCCAAGCTCAAACCAATCAGGCACCATCCTTGTGGTTAACAACAAACTTTTTTTCGGTTCAAAAATGGAGAAAGAAGAAATCAATACAAGAAAATGACCAAAATGCCCTTACGTGAGGTCGTTTGACAGGAGACGCTTAACATTCATACGTGAGACTCTGCCATATAAACCCGTATTTACAAAATTCAATCAAAACTAAATAAAAAAAGAAATTACCATATTTTTATTAAAAATCTAAATAATAATTTAATAATTTTTATAAAATAAATGATAGGTTTTCATAAAGTAGATACAAGAACAAATATTGGTCGGTTCATGATGCCCAAAAGCTAGAAAAAGAAATGTGATCTTAGTGCCACTCAAGAGCTACACAAAACCATTATTTTTTTTTAATAAAAACATTTACTTCAATATATTATAATAGAAATATTTTTATTTATTATCTGTATAATACGAATAGAACAGTAAATTTTAACGATACTTTCTGATAAAACTCTGTATTTGTTAAACAACTTAAAACAACAATTTTCGTTGAAAGATCAGTTATGGGTTGTTTGGCAGTTGCTGAATGGTTTTGTGCAGAATCATTAAGTGGTCAAAATGATTAAGAGGCTTCTCATGATATAGTGCAAAATGAAATATAATTGTTTGGTAATTATTTACAATGAAATTAGGGCTCTTAATGGTTAAGGGAGACCGAAGATACAAAATCATTTAGAAGGTTTCAGAACTATTAAGAGACAGACTTTTTTTTGACAAACAAGATTCACTTC